GTCGCGCTTCCCGCATCTTGTCCTCAATAGGGGCCACACCCACCTTGTCGCGAATAACCTCATTTCTGATCCTATCTAACCTGGTGTGCCCGCAACACTCAGCCCCATACAATATCGTTGGTCTGACCACCACTCTGTAGAACTTACCCTTAAGCTTCGGTGGCACCTTCTTGTCACACAAAACACCCAAAGCGAATCTCAATTTCATCCATACCGTCCCAATACGATGGGTGACATCTTCATCAATCTTCCTATCCCCCTGAATAATAGACCCAAGGTACTTAAAACTCCCTCTCCTAGGGATGACCTGCGAGTCGAGCCTCGCCTCCCCTTTCTCTCATTGAGTCTCTCCATTGAACATACACTCCAAGTATTCTGTTTTGGTCCTGCTCAACTTGAAACTTTTAGATTCCAGGGTCTGCCTCCATACCTCTAAATGCGCGTTCACCCCGACTCGCATCTCGTCAATCAATGCAATATCATCTGCAAATAGCATGCACTGCGACACCTCCCCATGCGCGACTTAATACTCATATATATATAAAAATTAAAATAATACTAAAAGTGAATATTAAATTCTTCAAAACATGATACTTCTATCTTTTATTTTTCTTTTCAAGATGTTTATTCAAATTGATAGCATATTTATTTCAAGTGCTCTCTAATTATACCTTTTATTTCTTTCTCTTTTTTTGTCAAAATCTCATGCATTCCGAACTAAATTTTTTATGGGGGAAGAATTCACTTTTAGTATTATTTTAACTTACGTATATGAGTTAAAATAATTGCATTTGCTAGCCAAAATATATATACAGAATGTGTATGTTATATGTATATAACACACACACACACACACACACACACACACACACACACACATATATATATATATATATATATATATATAATATTTTATAGGCTATTATTTTTAGGAGCGGCTAAAAATATGCTCATATTTCTTCTATTTTAATTGGGTAATTATTTATTAGACTGAAAATAAAAAAAAAATTAAAATAAGAAAATACTACCGGAAATTTTATTTTTCGACCATTATGATTTTTGTATGAGTTAGTAAAGTTTTATGATTTTTGTGTGAGAAAACAAAATTATATGACTTTGGTGAAAAACAGTCATAGTTATATAATTTTTATGTGAGAAAATAAAATTATATGACTTTGGTGAAAAACAGTCATAGTTATATAATTTTTATGTGAGAAAATAAAATTATATGACTTTGATGAAAAAAAGTCATAGTTATATGATTTTTGTGTGAGAAAACCAAGTTATATGACTTTGATGAAAAAAAAGGTCATAATTATATGACCATTTGTAAAATTTACTCTTTATTTGGACTATGTATTTATATTGAGAAATTCTTCAAATATATAAGAATTGTTAGCTTGGAACCCAAAACAAAACAATACCCACAGACACTTTTCCTGTTTCTCTTTTTCTTTTAAATTGAGAGCAGCCAAATAAAAAAATTGCTACTTGTGCCCAAATCAGTTATCATTCCTCTATCCGGTTATTAACATATATTAATTTAAGATCGTTGAGAACCGATAAGCTTTAAATTTTAGATTCGTCTTTACTCGTTATATGTTTACGAGCTGCTTTAAAACTTGAGTTGTTATTTGTTCTAGGTGGAACTTTAACCCATAACAGTTACTTTAATAAGTTATTCCTTCTTGACATATTCAAATGAAAATCGTTCCTCTTCCGTAATACGTCTAATGTATGCTACAAATCTTTATGTATTATATCAGAGAGAAAACAAGAATT